ATGATGATTCTTTTTCATTATTATTTTTAATTTGAAGAAGGCGAGGAAGTATATTTTATAAAAAAAATTCAAAAATTATACAAAATAGCATACATAAATGGAAAAAAAGACAAAATGCGTATAATCAACTATAATTAAAACACTTTTCCCAGCACAATTAATCAAAAACCGTTTCTAATGGAAAGGAATATATAACTGCAGGTCAATTTTACAACTCTATATATATGAATAAAGATACTATTTGTGAAACTGGTAATAACCCCCCCCCCCCCCCAAAAAAAAAAATTGATCAACCGGGACTTGAACCGGTGGCCTCTAGCAAGCTAATTGAGAATCTTTCCCCTCTATACCGTCAAAATTTTTGTTTTACAAAATTTTACAAAACATAAAACAAGTGTGTAAAGTTAAGCCTCTACTAAAACTTTGACTTTGAAATAATATAATAGGCTTCTTCTTTTGTCATAGGGAGTTGTCATGTAGAATTTAATAGCAAAGCTCAAAGGTGTTACAGGCATCTACAGAAATACATCCGAAAAGAGAGGCGGACAGAAGGAGGGGGGCATAGGGAGTTATCATCATAGTTTAGAATTTAATTGCAAAAATCTCAGAAGCTTCTTGGGATATAATTGGAAATGAAAGTTTTACTCACACACACACACACACACACAAAATGTAAGAATTTACGATATTGACCTTTGACCTTTGATCAAAGATTTCTCGAGATATTGCATGGAAAAGAAATAAAAAAGATCAAAGATTTATCGAGATATTGCCTGGAAAAGAAAGTGTTAAAACAGACAGAATTTATTTAATTTATGACCTCTACCTTTGACTCCCTGGACCTCAAAACATTCCTTAGGCCAATATTAGTGATAGTGTAAAATTTCATGCAAAAGCTGAAAGACTTCTCAACTTGAAGTGAGATATTGAGTGGACGAAAGCGTTACAGACAGTCAACTACAGACGGACGGACAGCTAGACAGACCGAAATTAATACCCACTCCATACTATCAGTGGGGTACAAAAGGGACTTCTTACTAATATTAACACTATGTTATAAATGCGTAACTAAGTTTTTTGCTAATGATAATTCACTTCAACAATCTTGAACATATAATATACCTACGAAAGCCCATTGAGCTCATTTTTGTAGGTTAAAAAAATTAAATTTTCGCGTTATAACGCAAAACTTTCGCGATATTACTCGAAACTTTCGAGATATAACGCGTAACTTTCGCGATATAACGCGAAACATTCGCGAATAAACGCGTTACTTTCGCGTTAAAACGTGAAACTTTCGCGATATAACGCGTAACTTTGGCGATATAAAGTTATAGAGAAGTTCTTTGGACTGGACCAAAAATCAAAACTATTAAGGTATATACGGCAGAGTTTGTACATTATATTTTGAATTAATTGTCAATATTTTTCCGATATCGAATTTCTACAGTAAATCCAATGGAGACAAATGAAAAATTTCTACTATCCAATTTTCACAATTCTGCGATCTTGTTCTTTTAAAATAAAATTATTTCGAATTCTCTAGAGAATGCACAAAAAGACGCCGGAAAGGGGTGATTTTCCCCAAAATTCACAATCTTGATTATAATAATAGGGATTGAAGTTTAACTTTTGGAAAACTCGCATAATCTTTTAATTGTTTGAACAGCGCTGAGAAAGATCATCTAAGACGGTGAAGATAGATTTAATAGGAAGACAAATTAAAATTGTAGCATGTGATAGTCCAAGTTTAAAATAGACTTTTGCTTATCATTGTAATAACCAAACTTGATCACAAAAATCAAAAGACAGTTGAGACTCATGCAAATGTCTTTTAATTGGTTACACAGCAAAGGTATCGCGTTATATTGCGAAAGTTTCGCGTTATGTTGCGAAAGTTACGCGTTTATTCGCAAAAGTTAGACGTTATATCGCAAAAGTTTCGCGTTATATCGCGAAAGTTTTGCGTTATAACGCGAAAGTTACGCGTTTTTTTGCGAAAGATTCGCGTTATATCGCGAAAGTTACGCGTTAAATCGCGAAAGTTACGCGTTTATTTGCGAAAGTTTCGAGTTATATCGCAAAAGTTACGCGATATAACGAAACTTATAACGAAACTTATAATGAAAACATCGCTTTATAACGCGAAAAAAAATTTTTTTTAACCTACCAAAATGATCTCAATGGGCTTTCGTTTATTTTTGATGTTAATGATAATTTAATTAATGTTTTACATAATTTGCTGTGCATGAAGTTCTTCGAAAAAGTCTTATTTTGTCTCATTCATCATTGTTAATATAGGTTTTGATTACAACCTGATGTAAGTAGGGTTTTGAAGGCAAGAACAACCTACTCAAATGTAAAATTTATTTATCTTAATCTTGGTACTAATTTAATCAATAGTCGTCTTCCTCGTTATATATTATCAGTATCAGTGATTATTAATTGTCAATTCAACAAAAACAGCCTGAGGGCGCTCTGGTAGCATTTTCTCTCAATTTTAAAGCATCATCTTCGGTCTGTTTTCTGTTCCTTAAATGCAAGGTCAAAATGATATCGAGACACCGTGACGTACAAAGGGAAACGTTGACAAACTATAAATCTTAGCGCAATTTGTGTCAATTATCAAAAATATCAGGTTTCAGATAATTACAGGTCTCAAAACTTTGAAAATCTTTTTTTTGGGAGAAAAATATAAGTAAACATAATTTCAATATGCCCCACGAAAATATTGCTTTACTTCTTCCGTGCGCACAAAAGTTTAAATTATATTTTCATTATCATGTCCCGTGAATAATTGCATTAGACAAAAAAAAAAATGAAAAAAATCTTTTAAAGAAGTTGTTAGAACATTTTTCTTACCTTTGAACGCTGTTTACAAGTCTGAACTCAATATAAAAGTGGTGTGATCTGAACACTTAAAAAATGAAAACGGTAGATAAAACCTTTGTTTTTAGGCTTAAATTTTGTGTAATCTTTTCTTGCCTTACAGTGCTGTTTAGTTATATCTTCGCTTTATACTTATAATTTTCATAAATCTTTCTCTGTATAATACAGGTATCTTAAAAATGACACGATTTTGATTCATTATGAACTTTTAACATGAAACATACTTATATATGTAGACATGCAACATCTTTATGTCCACAAGCAAGTTAATCATGCCAACATGGAAGTTAATTGTCACTGACATTTATTTAGTGAACATTAATATTTAAATAAAAAAGTGATTTATGTTCATTGAACTTTTTTTTACAAACAAAATAATTAATTATGTCAACATGCAAGACTATAAGTTTCAGACCAACATACATATCTTGTTAACATACATGTAATTATATCAACATTTTGACATAAATAAGTCGCATGTTGACAGAATTATCTTGCATGTCAACATAAATGTAAATAAGTTGCATGTTGACAAAATTGAATTCCGCACATTTGAATTATATTTTCTTATAATGAAAATTGCATGTCAACATAATAATCTGGAACATTGACATAAATATGTTGCATGTATATGTACATAATTATGGTGCATGTAAATAAAATTTATCTTGCATGTATTGGGCAGAAATATGCCACTTCATATGACACTATTTGATATAATTCAGTTTAATTATTTTAATTATTTATTACGACTACAAAGAATTTGTCAGGGGGAAAACAAAGATATGCATGTATATACTCATTTGTTAAACTACATTACAAAGCAAAAAATATCATTCTTTATCGCAAATTAATAAAACAGGTAAACTATGATCTTTTAAAGCTGAATTTTCGAAATTGATTATTGTATGTCAAAAACAGTATCTAGGTTTGTGTCTGATAAAGAGGACTAAATGGCGTGTTAATATCTTCAATCCAAAGCTAAAGACGATTTATCGTCACAAGTCAATACAAAATGCTTTGTCAATACATTTCAATTGTAAATAAATAAATTTATTATATAGCTAATAATTAGTCTCTAATAAAATACTACCAGAAATCTAGAGAAATTCAGCGTTCAATATCTTGACGCTTTGTTGAACGCTGAGTTTATATCACGTGTAAGAGTATGCCCGAAAAATACGAATACGAGAGTTCAATATCGAACGCCCTGTTGTAAAAAAATGTCGTTTAGTAAAATTCTCAGAGTTAAATTAAAGGAAAGAAGTGGCATATAGGTAAGATGTGTTCATTTTTACACAAAAATGATATTATTTATTAAAAATGTAGTATGTATTTGACCAATTAAAACCTAAATAAGCAAATCATAACGCTCTCTAGGGCCATCGGAATGATAAGATATTGAACACTAGAGTTACAGGATAAACAAAAATTTGAATACCGATGCTAAAAAATCATTAATTCGATTTTTTTTATTTGGAAAAAGTATTATTAATTATGAGGAAATGTTTTAGCTATATACTCCAGGTAATAAAGGAGTTATTTAAATTATATTGGTGAATATTGGCACTCCTTAGCTGTACAAATGCACTCGCAAGTTTGCGTATTTGTACAGCCAACTTGTTCCAATATTCACCAATATAAGTTCAATTACCCTTATATATTTGATATGAATATTGCGATTTTCAAATCTATATCAACAAGCTATTAGTAAGTCAATTAATGAAAGTAATACAGAATACTTATTAAATATATTGCACACAAAAACAATCGAGAAGTATCGTCATATCTAATATGCTTTACAATTTAATAGAGCTGGGGGGGTTTTGTGAGTGCAATTATAAAGATCTGTAATTTATTTTAAACAAAAAGAATCAAAATAGCGGTAATACTGCATAAATGTGCTCTCTTTTAAATATTCAGTCAATACACAAATCCTGTGTAAATTACATTTAAATCTATCTCCTTCATGTTTAAATGATAAGATCAAAATGTGTGGGTTGATTCCAGATGTTGACCATCATTTGTTGGGAAAATCATACCCTGTATCAAGGGTATAAATATAAATATATAACATGCAAATTGTCAAAATTGTCTAAAAATCAGTTGTTGTTAGCATTGAAACAAGCAATTAACAGGTAGGATTATGAAATTTATAAATCATATCAGCTTTAAAGCAGACTTTGGACTTCTCATCATATTTGATTCATTTTTATATCTTAAATAATTAACTTCAGAAATAAATGAAATGTAATGCCTAGAATGAATCAGTTATTAGGAAAACTACTAAACTCTTGAGCAGGCAATTGTTCACGGGATCAAGCACTGCTATTAAGTTGAATTCATTGAAATTTTGTCACATTTTTCCTCTTACATATAAAATCTAGGTAGCTAGAAAATTTTATACAACTGCTATTTTAGAGATCTACATGTTTATAATTGTGTATTCTTTCATTCTGAAAATAAAAACAAAAATAATTACAGTGTCGTTAAAAAATGATGATGTTTTTTTTAACTGTGACTGGAGCATTTCATTGAAAAAAAAATTGAATTAAAATGAACATACGAGTATATCCATAATAATTAAGCGTACTGATTTTCTTTCAGATGATGGCGTTTTATGTAATCCTTGTGTTCCTTCTTCATGTTGCAAACGGAGATACTCAGAACGGAAGTTGTAAAGACATGTTACAGGGTTATCTAACAGGACAACTGTCGTCTGCTCTAGGTGTATATCAGGTAGAAGCTTTGAGGCGGGAATTCAAAAGCTTCACCGACGTCATGGAGGAATCGATGAAAAAGTTCCAGCAGGCAGTGAATGCTAGCTTACAGGATGAAGGTATAGTTTGATGTTATTTTGAATTGCAAAATATATTGATTGGGTACATGCATGAATACTAAATTTTATTTCCTTGCCCTTTGATTAAAAACTATCTAAAAATTTTGATAGTAAATTAATTTGCAGATTTGTGTTTATTTTCACAGCTGTGGCCTATTTGATATCATGTCTTTCTTCAATTTAGAAAAAATCCACGTTTTTTTCAAATATAAGTATCTTTTAAGGTCACATCATGTGGTCATCCTATTTCAAATAACAACAATTCCCTGTAAAGAATTTGGTCTTCAATTAAAGTTTGACTAATGTATTGTTTAAAGCATGCTAATATCGCTATATTTTACGCTTTTTGCCCTGTTTTATTATTTATATAATGTATCAATTTTATACATTTGCATTTTCATACTCATTTAAATTCATTTTAGTTAATTAAAAAAATTCAGAACATTCGATAATGGTAACTTTTATGATACCATGCCGATCATTCCTTCAAAAGAAATACTTGTAAAATAATTCTATTAAATAAAATCAATTTAAATATATAATTTGTTTGTTAAATAGGTGTGAGAAACAGAATGGTCGAGTACACAAGATGGGGAAAGAGGACATGTCCCTCTAACGCAGTCTTAGTTTACTCAGGTGAATGAATATATTTGAAACGTCAATATTTAAATTGACATGTAAAAATATATAATGTTGTTAGTAAATGGATAGGGATATATATGGGCATGGCCAAATGAGCATAAAATGGACCTACCTTTTAAATTGACATATATCATTATTTTTTTAATAAAGTTGGAAACTTCTTATGATTAATTTTTCTTGGAAAAAAAAGAAAAACTATTTTTTTTTGTAAAAAAAAATCATGATCTGGAACTTGGAAAATATTAGAACAAAACAAAACTATGCAAAATGCAAACGATAATGCAAAAGATTATTTAAGCAAATTTTGATGGACAATAACCATAAATGCTCCGTAAAGATTGATGACATCTTGGCATATTCACAAAATATATGTTTTTAAAAAAAATCCAGAATTATTTATTTATGTACCTATGTATATTTTACATTATTTTACAGGATTCGTTGGAGGATCATATTATACTCATTCAGGAGCGGCTGTAGATCCTCTTTGTTTACCTAGAGATCCAGAGTGGGGAATGTACGTGGATGGGAACAATGGAAATAGGGCTTATGTGTATGGAGCAGAGTATGAAACACATGACTTCAACAAAGGCCCTTTTACATCACTTATTCACCATGACGTTCCTTGTGCTGTTTGTCTTGTTAAAAATAGATCCGTTGTTAAAATATTTCCAGGTGAGAAAAGAACATGTGTTCTGACTAAACATTGAAATATAATGTTCATTTTTTAACTACAGTCACGATCATACAGTGGCGCAGGGGTAATAGTGTGTTTTGAAGTCGCGGAGTAAGGAGTTGATCCTTACTCTGAAGGGCGTGTGAGACGTGAAAATATGTCTTTGAGAGACCGTGTTCATAGTTATTGTGAGCATGGTTTGTCAAACAAACTACATCTTTTGCATTGGTCTTGAGTATTAAATTTGTATGAGCATTGTGTCCTTGTTAATTATACGGACACTTACTCTCAAGATACGACATCTTAAATGGTGGCCTTTCTAATGATTTATTTGAAAAAAAGATGAAGCGACAAAAGAAGGAAGAAATAAAAAAAAACGACATATCTTTTAAAGTCCCATTTTCATGTCTGAATATTTTTTTTTAATGTCATAACCAACTAGTGCTAATTGTAACGGGGACCGTTACAGATGTTCCCCAAACACTCCCCAACTCCCTTTTTGTGCCAATTTCCATGTAAGCCTTATTAAATAAGACAACATCTGTGCATTTTTGCCTTTAACAACGTTTTCGCAGAGGGATACCAATTATATTCAATTTTTAACATTGCAGGCGTGCGCGTGCGCAATGATCATATCTTTTCTACAATTTTCTATAAGTTTAAAAATACTATATCTTCAACCATTTAGTCCAAAATTATTCAAAATCACTCATTCAAGTGTATTTTTAATTTCACTCTTTCCAAATGCACGCACGTGCGTGCACGTGCATGATGACCATACCTTCTTGTAGGACGCCCTTATATCTATCTATATTCTAAATCCCTTCCTGTTTGGTTGAAAACCAAGGGAATTATAGCCATTTCAAGTTTCAGCCAATCAGATTGCAGCACACGTGCGTGCGCGTGATTTCATGATTTTTTTCTAAATCATATTGTAGGATATCCCAATGCATGAATATGTTTTAAATTTCAAAGCATTTCGTCAAAAAAGAAAGGAGATATAGCCATTTAAAGTTTCAGCCAATCAGGTTGCAGCACACGTGCATGCATGTGATTTCTTGAATTTTTTTGTATATCATATTGCAGGATATCCTAATGCAAGACTATGTTTTTCAAAGCATTTCGTCAAAAAACAAAGGAGATATAGCCATTTAAATTTCAGCCAATCAGGTTGCAGCGCACGTGCATGCGCGTGATTTCATGAAATTTTTTCCATATTATTTTGTAGGATATCCTAATTCATGACAATGTTTAAAATTTCAAAGCATTTCGTCGAAAAACAAAAGAGATATTGAGATTTTTTGTTTCAGCCAATCAGAGCAAAGCGCACGTGCATGCGCGTGAGTTCGTGCTAATTTGACAGTGTAATTTTATTAACACTCTTAATATATCCTCATGTAATGAGTTTCAAAGCATTTCATCAAAAAATGTAAAAGTTATAGCTATATTAAGTATATCAGTCAATTCACTCATTTCACGCGCACGCACGTGCAGGCGTATGCGCGCAAAATGACCTTCGTTCCGCACACCTACACTACACACCTATTAACCCTAAAAAGGTTTTAGCTCAGTTGGGTGAACAGTTTCTGAGAACACTCGCGGACAAAAAAGTACCGGAGAACAAATAAGAAAAATAAAAAATAATAATAAGAAACCGAGTAAAAACAATATGTTCCCAAACTCCGTTTGGGGAACATAATTAACCCCATATAGCTGTACTTATATCTTCTGTTAGGCTAAGCAAAATGGATTTGACCTCGATCTTGTTTAATGACTAAATAACAATAAACAAGAGAAACTCTTTTAATTTTTATATCATAGGTAACTCATATAGACTTATGTGTACATAAAAAATATAGGGAAAATCTACGTATACAGTCTAGTTTTTTCTTAGGGACCGTCTCAAAATACAAGATGTTTTGGCTTTATCAAATGTGCATGTTTACTTTGTTGTTTGATATTTAAAATGATTTCATTTCATTTAAGCTAGGAAAACCTGCTTTGAAGGCTGGACACTGGAGTACCAGGGTTACCTTATGACTGGGTACCATGGACATGCAGCTGGTACAACATACAAGTGTGTTGACGAGAATCCAGACACTTTACATGGCGGCCATGCGGATAAAAATGGCTACCTATTCTTTTTTGTAGAAGGCCGTTGTGGTTCGTTGAAATGTCCACCATATGTTGAAGGAAGAGAACTAGTGTGTGCTGTCTGTTCTAAAAAGTGAAAAATAAAACTATTGTTTCAAATATATACAAAACTCTTTTTTTTTAAATTGATAATTCTCCTCATTTGAATGAAATATCAAAATCACGAACAGTATTCATTGTACATTTAAACAATGCCAGTAGGGAGTGAAGAAAACACTATAAGAACTATAAGAACTTCAGAGGTGGGATCGGATGCCACTGAAGTGTGGGTTTCCCCTGCCGACTGGTTAAATCCGCCGTATTCTCATTAATGTTATCGGGAAGTAAGGGGAAAAGGGCCCGACAACAAGACAGAAAAACATCAGTGAGCATTTAACTAAATGATTCCCAGACAAAGCCAATGTATCGACCATTAAACTTGCGAAATGATGATTTTAAACGAGGCTTTTCATATCCTCTTTTATCAACTTGTATGTCAAAACAGTGTCTTTACATTTGTTCTCATTATTATCCCCTCGTGCAACTAGTTGCGGAGGGGATATAGGATCGCGAATGTGCATATGTGTGTGTGTTAGTGTGTTTGTGTGTTAGTGTGTTTGTTACGCCTTGTGGGCAAGATTGACAGAAAACCTTTGCATTAACCATTCTCAGCGTTTACATACTTGTGTGGCAGTATAAAAGGACGAAGCCTATTTATTTTCAAGTTCATTAATGAAATATTTCTTCAGATATCAGTGTTTTTACTGCCTCGAAACCCTGACATTTTTTGTACGAGTTGACAATAATCATTTGTGGGCAAGATTGACAGAAAACCTTTGCATTAACTACTCTCAGCATTTACATACTTGTGTGGCATTATCAAAAGATGAAGCCTATTCATTTTCAAGTTCATTGTTGAAATACTTCTTCAGATATCGCGTTTTCACTGTCTTGAAACCCTGACATTTTATGTACGAGTTGACAATAATCATTTCTGCTGGGGAACCAGTTTAAAAGCAGTTTAAAAGGCGTGTCGATTCTGCAGGAACCAGAAAAGAATTTGATGAACGTCGCAGTTTAATTACCAAATTCCAACAGGTGTCTTGGAATTTGGGGTGCATGTTTTTCCTGTAAGCTGTAAATACAATCCACAAGTTCAATTAACCTCTCGATGTAGATATGTACATTGTTATTTTTCATTACGAAAAAAAAATACATAATGCCTGGAGCGGTGAGATATAACTAGGTTGGTAAATAATTAGAATTACTGAAACATACATATAGCATACGTGATATGTTTCTGCTAGGTATAAGGGAAACAGACCAATTACGTATACATATTATGCCCCCCCCTCCCCACTAAAATGCTATGCAATCTGATTTTTGTTAAAAATAGACATCCCCCACCCAGATGATTTGTTTAAAAAATAAATAGTGCTGAAAAACAATTTAATATCTTAAATTAAACTTTACTACCCAAAGTTAGGTATCCATCTTATCCCCCCCCCTTAATCAAGACACTTTGTATTTTGTAAAAAATGAATCAAGAACAACACCCACTAATAATTTTGTCAAAAGTAAGGGAGTTGATCGTAATGTTGCAGGTTTGAATCCCTTTGTGGGACGTGGAGGCTTGTCCTTCGAATGAGACCATGTAAACCAAGGGACCATGTCCCAGTGGATGCTTGCACAATAAAAAATCCCTCACTGCTCAATGGTCGCTTGTTCGGACAGTTTCCATGATAGGAAAGAATGTGCAGCTCTCCATCGGCAAGCCTTCATATGAGCAAAAAATTCCTGAGAGGGACATTAAACAAAATACATTATACTATCCATCTTTAATATGTTTAACGTCCCTCGAGAGAATTTATCTCTTATGAAATATTGCCATTACCAGTTAAGTTGCTGTCGCGAGGGGATGCTCCGCTTAGCGGTGCCCTTGTTTTTTACACAAATAGCACGCGTTTAGGTACATGTCAAAGCGACTGTAGGGAAACATAATTCTCATGAAAATTGATATGTACATGTATATTGCTACATACGTAAGGAAAGTTGACCATTGAAACATTGAAGTCACCTCATTTATCATAAGCCTTTTTGTTAGGTAAAATGCAAGATCTTTTAATGTAAATTATCCAAATTTAATTCATATTTAGTAATCTGATTGAGGTATTTTTTTGTATTAAGCTCACAGGGATAAATAGAGTTGAAATATCAAAAGAAGTACTGTAACGTTTTTTTTAAGATACAAGTAATTGCTCGAAGATATATATATATATATATATATATATATATATATATATATATATATATATATATATATGTAAGACTCCAAAGTGCGATGGTGACGCCAAAGTCCGATGGTCACGCCAAACCCCGATGGTCTGCGCCAAACCCCGATGGTCTTTATGACGCCAAAGTCCGATGGCACAGAAAACAATTAACTTTCCTATGAAGACACGTTGCGCTAAAGTGCGATGCCACGCAAAGTCCAATAAATAAATACAAAATATCATAAATACGTCAAATACTAATCCTCGCTTTTGACGCCGTTGTCCTGCATTCAAAAGCCATCATTTCTGAACGTCTAACTTAACTATCACATTTTGCTTATTGCTTGCAAATTCAGATATATTAGTGTCCTCGCACAACACAACTCGATTTATTAGGGTTAGTGCTTGCATTGCACAACCCAAGAGATTTAGGGTTAGTCCTCGCACACTAGTCGAGTGAATAGGGTTAGTCTTGCAAACAACCAAGATATCTAGCTTAAAGTTGATACACACTTTTTGAGCGTTTAGGGTTAGTCTCGCATCTATTTGAGAGATAAGGATTAGTTTTCGCATTTATTTGTTTATTTATACTTATTTTTAAGACCTTGGCATGGCGCGGCATTGAAGTTTGGCGCAGTAGTACCATGACGTCATAAACTTTAATTGTTCTCCGCACCATTGGACTTTGGCGTGTCAAGTCATCGTGGTTTGGAGCAGACCACCGGACTTTGGCGTGACCTTCGGACTTTGGAGTCCCATCGCACTTTGGAGTCCTACACATATATATATATATATATATATATATATATATATATATATATATATATATATATATATATATATATATATATATATATATATATATATAAATATATATATATATATATCATTTATTATCAACATCCCTAACTCTGGGGCCATATAATTCAAAATTTCAAAGAAACATACGTCCTCATCATAACAATGTTTGTTGTTAGTTTGTTAGTTTGTTCTATTCTCAAGAGCACAGAAAAGGATTTTCAAATAATTAATGCATTTTCACTATATACTCAAAAGAGCCCTGCGCAAGCACTAGACCCCTTGCCTTTGGTGCCATGAAATTCAAACGTTTAGAAGAAGGATATAGAGATAAAGAACAGTATTCAGTATCAAACAAGAGGCACCCTTCCTCATTCTTGGAATAGCATACTTTGGTTTTACAAGTAAATATGGGCACATGGTAAGGTCATGAAAATTTTAGCTAAGAAAATTTTCAGCAATTTTAAATCTAAAGTCATTCTTCCAATACCCATAAGAAAAAGCATATCCTGCTGTTCTTTATTTAATTTTGCAGTGTTGGATTAAATGCTCCTGGGTATTAATCCGTCTTGTGCCGATAATGTGTGTGATCCTAGGCTACCGGCGTATCTCAGCGCAAATGGAGGAGTGTACTTAATTAATGAACTGGGGTTCATATTTTTTTGCCTCTGTAGGTGTAAGAGAATACACGAAATAACTTCCCCATGAACTTGTAATTGTCTTCATTACAGAATGAAATTCATTTTTAACATTATTTTTCTTCCGTTTAACACAGTCAACTATATTTGTTTCCCTTGTAGTAACCCCTTTCTGGCAACTTAAACCCTGAAAAGCGTCATCCTTAAATCTGAACACAATTTGTAGAAGGGAATTAATTCGCCAGATTCTTTCATTCAGTCATTGTGTCTGAGAGCCCCTACATTAGCTGTTCATTTAGTCACTTTTTAGTTTAATCAGTATCACCTGTATAGATTACATGCTACAAAGCTGCTGTTAGATACTCCGAAGCAACAAAAAACTGTGTAATTCTTCGACGAAACGAGAGAAATACACCTTAGAAAAGTTGCAAAGTCAAGTGCAGCATACAAAAAAAAATAAAAATACACGTACACTTCAATAAAATTTTAAATTAAGAAATAAAGGATAATAAGAATATTCACAAGTCATTCATTTAACGCTGGTACAGATGTACCTGTCACAATAAAACAGGTGTAAGGAATGCAAAGGCTATACCCCGGTGCCAATAACGGGAGTAAAAGTAAAATGGCACGTGCCCATTTACTAGTCATGTTAAAATCCACTCACATTTCCAAAAACGACCAACGACCGACGAGTTTTGAAGCAAAAATGGTATTCGTCGGGTGAGAGGTGAGAGTCGTCAGTTCATCGGCCGTTGTCTTGGCCGATTGTGACCTCTTTTTTTGTCGGTCGACCAATTTTTTGTCTATCTGTCCATTTTATAATTTTTTCTGCGTCGGTGGCCGATTTCTTCAATTGAAGTTATCCGTAACCTTCGATCAGTGTCCGACCATCGGAAGTCAGTTTATAAAGTCGGTCGTCCGTCGTTCGACGCTAAGGGTATCCAAAATTTCAGCCTACGGTTAATATCAAACTGTAGCTTAGAGCTCGATGATCGGACGACGATTAGCCGACCTCCGAATATTTAACTTATTAAGGATACATAACATAAACAAATGTTGATGCATATATTCATATATATATTTTTAACGGAAATAGCATAAATCCGTTAGATATAAAAATAATTTTAAGTATTCTGTGCTGCTTACATATACACCATTTGTCGTTTTCATGCAATTTTATACCAATTTTGCACACATTTTCAATACTGAGTCACAATTCTGTAAAATTCTGCCATTTTGCCTTGCAAACATTACTCACGTAACCTATCAGAAAATAGATCTATGAAAAAATATTGCTGATTTCTAAAGAAAAAAGATTTAAAGTATTATTTATCTAAGTCATCAGTGTTCCTAGGAATTAATGTGACTGCTGCGTGTCGCCTGATACTT